ATATATATATAGTGCACGTAGGCACAGCTTCAGTGCCTACGTGCGTATTACGAGCCCATCGTTAGTAAATGAATACCATGACAAGCCTTAGTTGAATCTGAGCTTTAACCTCCAGTACATCCATCGAACTACTGTACCGGGACGAAACAGGACTGAGTCTGTCCCTGACCTACTTCACGACTACCACTACATCAGTCACACTAACAACTGGTGATGGAAACAGTTAGGTCGAAGAGCCTGTTCCCTAAGATTGGTGTGCACTTACGCCTCTGTGAGTTGTTGCAGAGCTGCCTCTGGTGTTTTCCTAATCAACTTTATCGTGTCAAGGTAATTAGGATTTTAAGTACCACAGGCATGAAAAAGAAACGCTTAGTCTGTGCGCATCTATCGGCACACCGGAACAAGGCGTGAACCCTGAACTTAGCCAAGTGTCCTACGGATCAGCCCCATCAAACGCGAGACGGAAGCTCAGACAACACGCAACAGGAAGTACTTCTCATCCACAATTTTCTACTCCCCTGTCTTTAACTTGCATCTTGCACTTGTCAAGTTCTGGGGCAATCTCCAGCCTAGATAAGAACTCAGCGCAGATAGCCAGCGGGGTAAATTCATATCGACCTCTTTGCCACGCCAAACAATATTCTAGTAGTTACTGTTTAGACTTATATACGATTCACAGCTTCAGACAGCCCTTGTTCATCTAAAGTAGTCCTCATCAGATGATAGATTATTGAACCATCCATGCGGGGAAAAGTTCTTTTCAATCGTTCAGATTCTATGAAAACGCGGAGACTACGACAACGCGATAGGAGCCAAGAATGAAGAAACAAGTAATAGGCTGTCGAAAATCTTTCAGTAACCTTACATAAATAGTTTCGGCGTAAGAAGAACCTGGTAACTCCTTCACGTTTACGTCATATAACGACCTTACGAGAATCGAACCTTGAAAATCCCCACTGATTTCTACTGGAAGGTTTGCCATTATTCCACCCACGTCTGATTCCTCACTAGTGTATTTGTTAGACGCCAGTGGTATACAAAAATTCGTTTCCCAAGGTCATACCACAAACGTGATTTGCTGTCCTCTATTAAACTCTTCGTCATGGGGCTCTGGGCGTTTAATGTAAGCCGGTGAGTTGTTCCGTCTAAATGACCCAGCCATCGCATGTGTATTTGCGCACTAGCGAGAAGTCACAAACCTGTTTGATTGTTCGACCTAAAATACGCACCAACTTACATGGTTTATCAAAACCTTTGCGATCTAAACTACAAGCAGCCAAACAAAATAAGGGTCTAAGCGCACATGATGCGAAAAAGGTACCGTCGATCCGTTCCCCAAAATTTTGCCGGACAGTTTGCATGTCTTACCTACTAGCGGCCACCAGAATGATTCTAACCGCCAGTTATCTGTTCACATCACGTTTAGGTTCTACAAAGTGACATACAGTAAGCCCATTTGCCTGTTTTATTCTGTTTATCTGGATCACTCTACTTCACGAATGATAGGTGGTAACCTTCAGTACAGTGCTAGCTACAGCCACTCGGTTTCGATTACATTCATTACAGGCAAATCGGAAAAAGTAAATGAACCACCTCCTAGACCCCCCTCTCTTAATTGCCATCCATTCAGGTAAGAGTTGTTTCCAAATCACCTCAGTGTCTTTGTAAACGACTATGCTCACCGCTCCTCCCGGCCCACATCTGGTTAGCTTTCAGCCATAATCTTTCACCGATACGTTGGATTTTTACTATCACGCAATTTTTACCACTCCATTCGACTTCCGTGAAGATGTTACCATGTCATCACAATGTGTTCTCCTCTCTATATCGGAAAATATGATTCCACGATCCTCTTATTAAACAGTAGAATAGTAACTTCTGTGCCTCCCAAAGAGCAATCCAACTTCCTACCCGGGTTTCATCCCGCGCTTCGCTGTGTTCCTTACTTTTCTCATCTTTGGATAAGTTACCTGTATTCTCATCGCCAAATGCCATAAAGATATATCAGCCTTAAGTTTTCGAAATTGTTTTCCTACCAGGCTATCCTTCATTAAAATGGCCATTTGGACGGCCAGTTTTTTAACTAACCTTTCCAAACATGG